TCAAGCTTTTAAATTTTTAAATAGTTTGACATTAATTGTATTACTTATAATAATCACAAGTATCACAATTCTGGTTGCTTTTATAACTAGAAAATCGTATATCTTCTTCATGTTCTACCGAACCCGTAAAATCGACATTATCTGACAATACCACACCGATGCAGACAGCGCCTATGAATACAGGCATAATAGCTTACCAAACTGCAATATAAGCTACTTTATCATAAATTATATATTATCTTACATTGTATTAGTTCTACGCGTAACTACAATATAAAGATTAAAAGGTTCATGATTGTATATAACACTATACATAATTATATACGAGTAATACACGAAGATTTTTAATTTATAATTTCTATTTACGTAGCTATATCGATAGGTAAGAATTTTAAAGCTTTTGATATACGGATATTGCTGTAATTTAACAGTACCGTAAATATTTGTCGATGCTTAAATTAAAAAGAGATGATGTATGTAGGCAGACTGCATTCAAACTGAGGTAGATTACTATCTAATGAATTGATCAATCCAATAGTTTCCTTATTTATTACACGGCTGTAATTTTAACATAGAATATCGATTTTATTCAAAACTTGAAGTTACTTCAATGATAATTTAACAATGAGAGATTGTAGTTAATATCTAAAAGAATGAAGTAACAACTTCTGCCTTCCAACACATAGGACGAAGACATACCTAGTTATATTTGTACTTGTTTAACGCACGTAAATAAATGAGTTAGTCTGTTATTTCTAAGATCTGCTGTTATCTTCGTAAGATATTTTACCTGTATACGATGACGTCTACTGATATCGAATAATATTAATCGTATCTGTTACTGTGCTAGTCTAAATACGTAAAACTGATATAAAATACTACCCAATTAATTGATCGACCCGAGGGTTTCCATGTTTAATATAGAATTGTGATTTTAACATAGTATGTCAATTTTATACAATATTTAAAATTCTTGAAATGATTTACTGCTAAAAAGTTGTAGATTATAGTTCAATGAAAGAATTTTGTAAGAACATCTACCTTCCAACACATAAGACTTAAGTACACCTAGTTATGTTTTCACTTATTTAACGTAAGCGTATTTCCTGAACAGATTAATATGGGCTTATTCTTTTAATTCATCATCAGTGTCGCGCAATATTCAATTTTATTTGCGTGAGTGACAGTTCTTTAAATCTGCGATAAAACCTGTTTTTTATATCAAAAATCAGTTTAGAAATTCATTAGACGTTCAAACGCTCTTGCTACTAGATTAAGGATATTATTTGTTGAGTTTTACTAGTCGTGTTTATCCAGTGCAAGTTTAGAATATGCCAGTTATTGTACCGTTAATCTCATAAGCATTTACTATGAGTTTCATTTATAATGGGAAAATAATCGTTCTTGCTCAACGCTAAAGACGAAAGGCAATTGTGACATGTCCTTTCCAATTTATTAAATCCTCCATTATACATAATTCATTCCACAATTAGAAATTCCTCTTCGACAGCTTCCTCAAACTCCAGAGAGTCACCACGTTATAAGAAAGGACATTGTAGACCAAATTTGTACTCAATTACAGGAAATAGACAAGTCAAATGGTAAAATTTTAATACATGGTATGGCTGGTAGTGGTAAAACAACAACTGTTTGCCAGTCTGTTAGACAAGCTACTAATATGGGCTTATTTAAATCAAATGGCTGTTACTGGATGAAAATCGGTAAGTTTGCAAGTCTTATAGATGATATTTCAAGTGTTAATAAGTAATTTATTTGGGCGACTATTACTGTACAATTACCCATACAATGTATCTGCAAAATTGATCAATTCGAATTTGAAGTAGAGCATAAGCTTACCCCACCTGTCCCTTATCTTTATTCTATAAACATGATGTAGCAAAAGTAATTACAGACTACGATATAGCAAAAATAGTTGTCTTACCGCATTAAATGACGTTGAAATTGATGACAATTTATAATTAACAGTACAGTAAAGTATACTTTCTAGTATATGAGAATCAACTATAAATTCCTATTCAAATTAATAAGTGTAACCTGATTTAAAAATCATAACACCGTGGAATTTTTCTACTTTAAAAAAATTTGGCCATATTTAACCAGTAGTGGAAAGTATTATGATTGTGTACTATTTTTAGGCAATATTACGTCGAGAGATAAAATGAAATCGAACCATAATTTTGTTAGGGTTAGATCTTTAGGGATTATCGATAAGTGGGTTATCATGTTATTAACCCTTTATCTACTGGAGCGAATAAAGTAAAATGTTCTAAAACGCAAAAATAAGATGGGAAAAGAGATACATATTTGTTAGATCCTTTAAACTTAACTTTGTTGAAATGTACGCGCTGCCGAAGGTCGTTAAATTGCCATACTTGTTTAAAGCAGCGATGGTGATTCATATTTATCTTAATTTAGGCCATATATCTAATATCGAGTTATGCCAGGAACTCAAGATATTAGGTATCAGACTTAATATGGAATGGAAAGAGAATATTCAATCTATCGGCGAGATTTGTGCTCATCTCAGTTCTAGTCTAGAAGGTGATTTTTGAGCCTTTTATAAGTAATTCCATGTCAACTTGAATTATACTTAAGGTACAGTATTAATAAGTATTTGATTATTCTTATAACAGCAAATAGCCGACTATCCGATACGCTATTTATTTTTTTGACGATATCTGGAAAAAGGATCATTACGAATACTTATCTTTTGCCAAAAAGTCAATCTCTACTTCACGATTTAAGTATCTAGAAAATGAGCTCGACCATCACTGCATCAGTTTACCGGTTAGTTTTGTAATTCAGTTTCTTATATATTGCAGTATAATTTGGAATCAGCAAATATTGATGTCGATGTTCTCTTGATTAATCAATCCACTTTACATGATTCTTCTTTTAAATTCATATGTTGAAATTTATGTTGGATAAAATATAGTTATAAGTGTCGATACAGTTAAATTGCTCTGATGATATTGTTCATTTCATGCGATAAAAGGTCAAAAATGAATTTATAATTTTTTCCAACTGCATTGATTAAAGTGGCATGGAGGATAGTGTTATAGTTGAAGAAAACTTCACCGCTATGATTTCTCTATTTTGTCATTAAGTAACCTATCCGAACAATTATGATGAATACAATTCTTATTTCATATACTCTCTTGTATAGGAAAATCTAACGTATGACGAAGCTATAGAACTGCTTGCGTTACTTGCCGGTAACGATAATGCTCAGACATTGCGTGAAAATCCAGTTGTTAAGAAAGTTATCGACAGTTGTCAAGGTTTACCATTAGCTATCGCTTTAATTGGTGGTCTTGATTTAAAAACTGAGAAAGAGTGGAATGCAGCAAAGGATATCATTGCCGATGAGTCTATAGATATTGGATTAGCTCATTACGATTTCAATCTATACGGGACTTTACAATTAAGTGTTGATTCTTTGGATAATGAGAATAAACGATTATTTGAGAAACTAGCTGTATTTAAGCGAGTCAGTATTCCTATTCAATCTGTTACATCGTTATGGTACTACAATGAAATCAATAAAATCAAAGCTCAGAAAAAAGCTCAGCTTCTCCTAAGGGAAATGCATAACAAATCATTACTTACATATGATAAAGAAAAGTAAGTTTAATCAGGTTTCGGTTTGTAGAACGTATTGAAATAGACACAAAGTAAAATTGCTATACACTTAGAGCATTAATCATGTTTGAACACTGATTATTTTTTAATTTTCGGGTAGAGTAGAATACTGCATATCCAAGTTAACTTAATTGAGTGATGTCCAATTTTGCAATGCTTTATATTTTAATATTCAAAGCATGACCTAGTGTGCCCTTTTAGACATATATAGTTACAGATATAGAATGAACAGATTGATAAGTATTTTAAATTGATTGTAAATGTACAGTACTTGCATGTCGAATAAGCTATCATATATCTGCTTTATGTTAATTTTGGTTAGAATACTGTACGCCCAAGTTAAGTTAATGGAGTGATTTTGCAATGCCTTATAGGTATGGAATGAACAGATTGAACGAGTGTAACTTGTAGATATATTTAGTTATTGGTATACAAGTGCAATAAGCTAGGATATATGCAATTTTTAACATACAGAGCAACGCTGCCAATACTACTCATTTTTATAATTATAAATGGACTGCTAGTCATTCCAGCGCTTTCTTTTAAAATACGACTAATATCGTTTTAATGGTTAATTTACATTCAGAACTGGGAGGATTTCGATCAACTCAAGCAGCTCCTCAAGCAGCAACAACCTTGCCTCGATGTAGTCGATCGAGATGTTATTCAAATGATCTTGTGGGTTGACATGTCAGATAGTTGGATAAAACAGCGAGCTTTGCAATTAGCTAAGGAAAATGTGCGAAATGGTGAAAGTTATTGGAGCATGTCAAGGTAAATAAACTACTTCCATTTTCATCAATCCATAGCAGTACTACCTACTGTAATTTACACTATACTGTCGATTCTGACTTGCAAATAGGTGTTCAACTAGTGCAACAACTCAATATACTTATGATGCATGCAAAGCATTCGGTAAGAATGGATTGGATAAGTCTATATCAGTTTCGAATCCCGACTTTGGACCTTTGCGAATAATTGGTACTCAAAATAATTATGAAGACTGCCAAATTGTGGTATGTTAGTATACAATAAT